AATGAAGAAGATGAAGCTGAATTTTTTTTTTTGGCTAAATGGGGAAGGGAGTGGCCGGCCAAGAGGGAGAGAAAAGAGAGGGTTTGTGTGCTTTTTGTGTGAAGTGACTTGATGAAAAGGAAGATGGGACATAAAGCTACTTTTGGTGCAAAAATCAACAAGTGAATAGTGACCCATTAGTGCTCTTAATTGAGTTTAATTTAACTCACTCACCTCTAATCCCTCAATTAACTTTTTTTAGTCTACAATTGAGCATCCTTAATTCTCCAAGACCACTGCACTCTCAGACCAAATATTGTCTCAAAAAACATATCTTCACTAATTTTCACTAATCAGACGATCGAAAAATTAACTTTAAGAGAAAACGTGTTAAAAATATAAAATGAGGTAATGTACCATGTGGATGGAATTAAAATGAATGAAATAAATTAATTGGAGTAAATAAATAAATAATTACATAAATAAGTCAGTAAAATAAAATAAAAATAAATAATAAATAAATAAATTTCGAGTCCTTACAGTGTCAACATAGAAGCAAAAGGAATTTTACCAATTGATATTGGCAGGGTTTTTGTTATAATTACATTAACTATTTGTCGAGCCACATCCATGCAGAATAAACTTGGCTAATGACGAAAACAACTTCAAATCACATATGTAATAGTCACTCAATGTGTGGATATTTCCAAAATAATTGAATCCAAAAGGGTTTGACCTAAATGAGTACAATGTTTGGTAGTAAAATGCATTAGAGAAATACATTGACAAGAAAATTATAGCGAAATAACAAAATGGAAGGACAAAATGAACACTATTCTACGTCTAGAACAAGATCTTATGTAAGAATTCAATAGAAATGGAAAGTTGAAAGGTTTTGCCTTGACAAGGAATTTTGTATAACTTATATTGCTTGTTTATACTTGTTACATAAACTTTAGATTATATAGTTTGTTATAAGCATTATATTATACTCTACTAGTAGAAACTAACTAGGATGTGGATTACTTGTCACTTATTTCATGATCAAATCACACGAAACTTCTAATGCAAATATCAATACCATGTTTTTTTTTCAGGATTCACATAAAATCATAATAAGTGGGCAATTTTATTCATTTCTTTTTAGAAAAAGTATATTAACAACTTAAATATTTTCAACAATAAGAATCATACCAAAATGCAATACTCATGTGAATAAAGAAAAACACATTCTCATTCAAGAGTTGAATTAGAAAAATTACAAGAAAATTTTAAGGGGCCAAGGTGCAATTTTCTGTAAAATTCAATGATATAATAAATTACCTTTAGCACAATTCAGATTAGGGTTAAAAGCATTAAAACCCCCTGAATTTTATCCTCAATTGCACTTTATCTTCTCAACTCAATAAATAAATTTCCCCCTATTTTATGTTTTAGGACAAAAGTGCCCCTTCCATATTAATTATTATTTTGTTTCTTTTTTTTCTCTTTTCTTGTCCTTTTTCTACTTTTCTTTTTTCTTTATACATTTTAATGTTTCTCCCTTCTTTCATGTGATCGCATATTTTCTTCTCTTGTTGTTATTATCTATATATTAATTTTAATTTTTTAAGAAGTATTCTTTATTTATTTCTAGCTTTTTTACTTTTTGTTATTGAAAGTAATAATGATCATAGAGTCTATGCTATAACAAATTATATGTATCTATGTACAAAGACCATTACATACATTACTAAATTAATTTTAATAAGAATAGTAATAAATTCAGACCGTAGTAACATAATGTTTAATCAACTATACACAAAAAAGTAGATAAAGTATTAGTTACTTTATTTTTTGGGGATATACTTTTAAATATTAAGTAATTTAAAGTTTTAGTTTGCTAATATCTTTTTAAATAGTCAAATTGCTAGTAATATGCACTTTTTGATTAAGATGGGCATATATCAATTTTTTTATATTTTATAGTTTATCTTGGATTTTCTAATAATATAAGTAAAAAATAATTATAATATTTTAATAAGAAAACAAATTAGTAATACTACTAGGAAAGTGAAACAAAATAGTGACATAAGAGAAGTGAAAAAAGAAAATAATAAAAGATGAAAAATGAAAAATAAAAGAAAGTAGTAAAAAAAGGATTGAATAAACAAAAAAAGAACAAAATAAAATAGTAAGGGTACTTTTGTCTTAAAATATTAAATTGGGGGGAGGGGGGACGAAGTTGTCATTTAATGAATTCAAAGGTCAAAGCACAAGGATAAGGTTTATTAGGAGGATTTAGTGCATTTAACCCTTTGAAATACAACCATAATAAAATTCTACCAAATGCGTCCAGAAACAAATTATAATAATATTGATTGTAGTTGTAGGTTAACAGTACTTAAAATAACGATAATAAAATAAATTTATAATGAAAAGCAAAGGTGATATTAAAAAAAATAAGGTCTAATTACATTTACGTCCCTTGTGCTTTGGCCAAACTATCGCTACAGCCCCTATGTTTGAAATATTATAGTCACACCCTTTTAACTGGATAGGGCCATAACACACACACCTTTCTTGTTTTTAACCATAAAAGGGTAAATTACTAATAACCACCTTCTGATTTCATCTATTGCCATGTAATCCCTCTAATATTTCAAAATATCCATTTCACCCCTTATGATTTCATGTAAACTAAAAATTTAACAAAAAAAAAAATAGCATATGTAATGTCGTTAGTTGAAATACTAGCGCTACCCTTACTTAAATGTTAAATCAAACGATGACTTACCTATCTGTATAAAATCATAAGGGGATTATGTGGATAAATGCAAAAATCATAAGAAGGTAAAGTGGATATTTATGCAAGTCATAGGGAGGTTAAATGGATATTAAGATTTCATCATACACAGTTTTAGAATGTGGGTGGTCTAGTCACCGTAATTGATTATGCATTCTGTCCAATTTTCACATTATATAAAATCACAGAGGGGTTATGTGGCCCTTTTAAAATCTTAGGGAGGTTATCTGGTATTATGTAAAACTACAAGGGTATCATATGTAATTTACCCTAAAAAAATGACGTCTACTAATTGACGCAGGATAAAAAATGGTACAATCTTCCCAAAACAACCCTAAATAAAAAAAAAGGAAAAAAAAGAAACCATAAAAATCAGATAGTAAACTAAAAATAAAGGAGATAACGATGTTGACTTCCATCTCCCATGTATCCTTCTCTCCTCCCTTCTCTTATATCCGCCTTTTCATTTCCTGCAATATCCTTTCCTATTTCCACTTATTTTTTCAATTATTATTTTCTTTTGTTCTAAACCCTACTATAAGACCCAGTTGAAAGACACGCCTCAAAGGCCATGTAATCAAAGCACCGATGTATACAATTGCAAAACCACAGACAAAGCAAATTAGAGAATTTGTTCTTCTTCTTTTTATTTATTTTCCTAAGCTAAGGGAATTTATTATAAAAGTTCATGTTTTGGTTGAATTAGACTAAAGTTTGAGAAGTGAGATGTAAATTTCTGAGACGAGCTTGGGAAATCGAGGGCTACTGAGATGAACTGATGGGGTATAGGATAAGGATAGGAGTCCTATAAAATAAGAGCAAACTATCTAAACTTTTAGAATTATTGGCTTTTAGCCATTGAACTATTAAAAGTGTGATTTTGCCACTGAACTATCTAAAGTTTTGATTCTGAGCAATTTTGTCACATTTAATCGTTAACTAATAACTATGCTAGAACTGAGTGCTCACATGATTCACCAAATAACATAAAGGGGTATAGTTAATAATTAAATCTGAAGGAATGGTCTAGAATCTAAATTTTAGATGGTTCAGTGATCAAAATCAGATTTTTAATAATTCAGTGGGCAAAACTCTACGATTTCTTAAGTTTAGTGCCCATTTGAATAATTAGTTCAAAAATAAATAGGGTGTATCTTAAAAAAGTAGAAGAAATTTGCAAAGCTTGATGCTAAAGAAGCAAAGTATTTCTTGAATCTATCTTGGGCAAAGTTTAGGTTTTGTTGGCGAAAGATCGATGATGCACATGGTATTTTATTAACGTGGGGCTTGAGGGATGGAATGCAGAGAGGTTGAATGTGCTGGTGCCAAATCTAATCTTATACATTGGAGAGGTAAAATTGTTTATTTAGGACTGGTTGGTTGAGAGTTGCAAATGCCAAAGAGAATGTGTTGGCTTCTCCCGTTGTAATTTATTGCTTTTGCCTTTTTGGTATTTGTTTTCCTTTATATATATATGTATGTATGTATGTATATATATTTCACTTCTTATTTTGCAGCCATGGGTAGGGCTCTCAACGGGCCGGGTTTGGGCCGGAATTTATTATTCCGGGCCCGGACCCGAATTACTATACCGGACCCGGATCCGACCCGTTTACCCGACGGGTCTTTTATTCTATGTTCCGGATCCGGATCCGACGGGTCCCCGATCCGGGTCGGGTCTACCCGAACAAATTTAGCAAAATTTATAATTTCTAATAAAAATGAGAAAAAAATATATTTGTAAACTAATTTCTAACTAATGCAAAGAAAAAACCAAATAAGAAAAGAAATCAAATTGACTTTATTCAAATACATCACCCTAATCAAATTATATTGATAAATATATATTTTTTAAATTATTAATTCATTTATATTCGGATCCGGGTCTAATACGGGTCGGAATACTATATTCCGTATCCGACCCGTTTTTTGTTTGACAAAACGGATCCGGATCCGGGAAACGAAATTAAATCCCTACCCATACTCGCAATAATTTCACGGATTCGGTCCGGATCCGAGTCTAGACCCGACCCGTTGACAGGCCTAGCCATGGGTATTAGTGTTCTAACTAGAGGTCTTTCGACAATGTTTAGGATCTGTCAAGTTAAAAAGGATGATTGTAATATTTCCAAGTTCTGGGGGGTGTAATGGTAGTTTGACCAAAGCACAAGGGAGGCAAATATTATTAACCCAAAAAATAATTATAATAAAAAATAAAAGAGTCAAAAAAGAAAAATAAAACTGTTATACGGCGGGGCGTTAGTGGACAATGCTCGCAACGAATTTTCAGTTGTTCCCATATGGAGTTATCAAGTTCCGGCCTCCGTCCACCGCCACAGCCGGCGGCCAAGAAGAAGCAGAAAACGACAATTCACGCCCTTAGTCACGATATACTCTGCATGATTTTCACCTTTCTTGACCTCGTCCAGCTCATCCGCTGCTCCGCTGCCTGCAAATCATGGTATTTTTTGTGACAGCTGGTTGTTCAAGAATTTTCCATGCTTTTAGCTTGTTTTTGTTTATTATCTATCCTCTTTTTTTTTGGTTCTTTTGCCCTCATTCCTCAATGCCCATTTGTTTTTCTGAGTCCATTTTTGGCTAAAGTTTGTGCCTTTAGTCTTAATTGGGCTTTCAATGTGTTGTTATTTCTTTTAGATGGAGTAGCTTCTGAACCAGTTTTGCGTGCTCTGAACTAGCAGATGGAAGCTCTTTTAAGATGCTGTTAAATTATTAGTCCCATCCCCCCTCCCCCCAACCATTTTTCTTTTCCTGTTCTTGGTTGACTTAGAAATTTGTTTGATTTTGTTAATGATGGCCAGTTATTATAAGGCAAGATAATAATTTAGTTGGGGATTAAGCTTTTGATAATTCAAAATTTTTCACAAAATACTGTTGGTGCAGAAAAAGAAAGTTGTGCTTTATTCAGATCATATCCTTAGAAAGTTCAGTCTGTGGATTAGCAAGAGGTATGACTCATATTAGAAATGAATTTTCAGTACATGTTTAAGGGGTAGTAGCTAAGTCGGTTGATCTAATTCCACATTGCTCAAAATTTTCTCACGAAAATGAGTTTTTTTTTTGTCTATAAATTGGACAGAGGCTTGATTTTCAGCTATCATCTTAAATTATCACATTAAGAGTAATTTCTCATCTGCTTGTTAGATGCCTCTTACTTTCATGATACTGAAATTGATCTTGTTTAATATTCAGTTATGGAACGCTGACCTGTGTTTAAATCGTAAGTCTGGTATTATTTATATGAATGCTGAATTCAGTTAGTTAAGCTTAAGTAGGATTGGCTCTCAAGTTACTGGTAAACAACTCTTTAGAGGTGATTTCAATGTCAGCCTATCAACACGCATGGACATCAAGATGTTATTAAATGGCAATTTCTAGGCAAAGGTGTTTGTCACTGATTCTTTGAGGCTTCAATGTCCGCTAAGCAGATTGTCTGTAATAAAATCGGGTCTATTTGTATGCTATTTTGCATTTGTTGCATATCTTCTTTATAATTAGTATTAGTGATATTTCTTTTTCATGGGTTCTAATAAGTATTGGTTGCATGCATGTAACCCCAAGTAGTTAAACTTTTGTGAACCCACCCATTGTGTGTATGGATCTCAACAACTACAGACTTATGTCCAGTATGTGAACTTACTTTATAATGGTTGTACAATATTTCTCCCAAAAAACTTAAAACCTATTTGTTTCGATTTCATAAGGAGTACAGTCATCAACAAACTCAAGTTGTTGGAAATACAATATCACAAGCAACAAGATGCAGATGCTTTCAGCCTTCCTGAAGCATCTATACAATTAGGAAGATCATTAAATATTCATATGGAGCAGATTGCTATTGAACAGTACAGATTTGCTTTGCACAAAGGCCCTGCTAATGTTTTCCAGTGGAAAGGTCATTCAGTTGGGTAAGTGTGTTCTCTGTCTTCTGACGTTTACTGGATTTCATAGCATAACAAGAATGAGATATATATAGCTTGGCCACTTTAGCCTCTCGTCTTCTTCCTTGTGCATTACTTAGAAAATCTGTTACAAGCAATAGCGAGCTAAGTTTCTCTCAGTCTCTTTAAGAATTATCCCATTTGAAGTTTATGGAGGCATTTGTATGTTTTGTTTGGATTATTTTCTGGTTGGTTTAATCAGCTTGCTTTTGATTAGGGTCAATAAGTGCCGCATGAAGATGGGACTGTTTCTTACTGGTGTGGGTGACAAGGTAAGGTAAATTTCAATTTTTACTTTTACCAACATGTGGTTGTGAAATTGGAAGTGAAACTTCTTTTCATCGAATAAGTGAATCACCAAGGCAATGCTTTATTACATATATTAAGGCAAATTCTACTGCATGGCGGTTTCCGAATGTTCGATGATCTGGTTCAATGGGTGTATGAGCTAAAACTTGTTCTTTTACTGTGTGAGAGATGTCTGCCGTTGACTAAATTTAGAAGCAGGGAAACTAGAGCTTAGGGTCAAGGAGTGTATGATTTTCTTCAGGGTGAAAAACCTTTGCTGTTTAATTTATCTGGGGATATGATTTTAATGGTTGAAACATAAGAAAGAAAAGTAATATTCTGATAACAGGATGTATATATTTGTAGGTAGAGCGCAGTTTTGAGGTTTGTAACATTGCGTCTTAGCTTACTTTCCAATCTCATGCACGATTATTCCATTTGTTCTTTTTATAATCATTCAGCTTCACAACAAGCTATTAGTTTTGTCTTAGCTTCTGTACAATTTGGTTTAAAGGTAAATATGGTTTCAGGCATTGTGCTTTCCAATTTTGTCTAACTAAAGAGTCTCAAATTTTTCATGTTCTTCTAATTTCGTCTATGGTTCCTTGGGTTTAATTTTGTTATCAGTACTTAGATACCTACACATCTTTTCTGCATCCATCTGTTTCGATCCTTGGGGCAATCTGCATCTTTGTTTTAACTGAAATTATTACTTTGCTAATGATACAAGATGATGCGTCTGTGGTCAGCAGAAAGTTACAATTTCTTGGATGAATACAGCCTTCCTGATAAAGCCCCTTTAATCGATTTCGACTTTGATGAGAACAAGGTAACTTGAATATCTGATGTTTTACTGCCTATAAGCTGATTTGTTCTTAGCCTTTTTATTCAATGTTCTTTAAAAGGGAGCTAAGGATAAGGAACAATCACATGGCCCAAAGATTTATGGTGGAAAAAACACAATTTTAGTGGAATATTAGTAAGCCAAATAAACTCGGAACTTAAGTTGTGGTAAGCCAAGTAAAATTGGAACTCCAATGGTTGTAGCAAGAAAATTGAAATGTATATTGTGGTGTATGTGGCTTTAGAAGGGGGCCAAATTTGGATTTTGGTACTTGGAACATTTATTGCTCTATGCTATTAATATTAACTGGCACAAACCAAATGCTTGTCTTTGTTGCTCCTTCATTTTGCGAGTTCAAGTGAATGCTGCCTTGGCTTTTCATTGAACATGTCTAATTTGAGGTTGCATAGGAGCCAGATGGTTAGCCGATACAGGCTTCTCATGTCACATCAATTCACTAACATGGAAGACTTCATGGCAAGGATAGATCTTCCTTTATTTGTCTTACTTTCTGTTGGATGTGGGGGCTTTTGTTGGTTGTCAGCAAATATTCATTCTCAGTCTTCGCATAACTTGGGCCAGTGTTCATCAGCTGCCAATTTTTGGCTTTTGGCACTTCTTATACCTTTACACATAGGTACAAATTCAATTCAAACTTAAGAATAACCAATCAGTACTAAAAGTCGAAAATATAAAGGAAGGTCAATTGCTCAATAAACGTTCAAGTCTTACATCATAATCTACCCAATTACTTTACATCATAATCTACCCAATAAACGTTCAAGTCTTAATAAGAAATTTTTTTATTTGGAATTGGATATCTAATCCATTGTAATACTTTATTTAATGGTTTATAATTAATAACTAATCTTGGAACTCCTCTTTCTTTTTCAGCTTGATTCATAACATAAAAAGCTACACAACTCCAAGGAGATTTTGAAGATGTTATTAATCCTTTATCAATTAATGTTTGTATTTCTTTTTTACAAAATTCTAATAATTCGCTATTCATTTGTATAGGTCTTGCTTTAGTTGGAATATTTTTCTCATTAAAATCTTTTTCGTAGGGTAATTTTATCATGTGTTGTTTTCTATCCCAAAAAGCATTCGGAATGTCTGCACAAACTTCCTTTTTAATTAATTCTTCTAATTCTAAAACTTTTTTTTGCATTTTTATTTCTTTTAATTGTTCTGCAATTTCTAAATAGGATTTTTCTTCCTTTATATAATTTATCTGTTGTTTTACCTTAGTAATAGTATTTATTGTTTTATAAATAGAATTTGATTGTAATATTTGTAATTCTCTTTGTTTGATTGGAGTTAAAAATTTAAAAGTAATAGTTTTCCCATAAATTAGTAGAAATTCCTTCATATCCTACTGAAAATGGATATATTTGAATTAAAAAGGGTGTTCCTAAAATTATATCATTACTTATATTTTTTACAATTATAAAATTATGCCTAATACAATAATTATTATTACATATCGACCCTTATGTAAATTTATATTTTACTTGTAAATTTTCTCCATTTGCTGCCATCAAAGTTTCATTTGTTCTTTCACAATATTTAGTGGGAATAATTCCTTCTTTTATACAACTTGAATCTGCTCCACTATCTAACAGAGCTACATATGTTTCTTTGAAATCTTCTACCGTTATTGTAACTAGAGCATACCACTTTTGAAATGTTATTTTTTCTATTGTATTTAAGTGTTGTTTTTCATCTATTGGTCTTTCTGAAATAACTATTACTTCTGAAGTTAATTTTTTGAAGTAGAAGGTTGATTTTCTATTAATGTCATCTTTGCTTCTATTTCTAAATCTTTAGTTTTTAATTCTATAATTTCTTTTTGTAATTGTTTTACTTGATTTTTTAAATTATTAATTTCTGTTTGAAGATCTTTAGTAGTTTCTTTTTTCATATTGTTTATATTAGGATATTTATCCAGTAATTTTGAAATGCTAAATGGTTCAATTATTTTTGGCATCTTATCCTCTTGAATGATTAAACTTTTTAATCTTTCTAAATATTCTTTTTTAGCTAAGGATCATCAATTTTTTCTATTATGTCTAATAAAAATTCTTTATCTTCCTTTTTGTAATTACATTTATACACTTTGGATTGTTAAAACAATTACAATTTTCTTCACTTTCTGAACAACTTATATCATTGTAATAATCATCTTCTGTACTTTGTTCTTTTTCATTTATTCATAAATTTATTAATTTATTCTTTATATCTTCTTCTTTTGCACAGATTTCATTTATTTTTCTTTCAACTTACATTTATTTGTTTTATGTCCTACTTTTCCATATTTATAACAAACAATTTTTCTTTTATAAAATTTTTTATTTTTCTTTTTCTCATAATTTTCTTCTTTATTATATTTTTTATATCTTATGTATTTTTTGTCCTTTTTACTTTTCTTTTTATATGCTGATGGTGATTTAATTCTTTTTATACCAAATGCTTCACAAAATGATCCTACTTCTTTTGTTTTTGAACCATACTTAATCTGGAGTTTTAGTTCTGAACATAATATTAAACCTTTTTTTTCACAAAAGCAAATAATTGTCCAAAAGTAATATTTTCGAATGAAATAACATCTGTTCCCATTTCTTTTTGTAAATTATCCATTATCCATTGTGAAAATAGACTTGGTAATCCTGTAATAAATCTTTCTTTCCAAAATGAAGCATTACAATCTGGTCTTCTTAATACATTAGTTAAAAACATATCTTTATACCATCTAAAGTCTGACAAAGTTGGACATCTTAAATTTGTTAAAAATGCTATATTTGCATTTAGTTCTTCTTTGGATTTCCTACAAAATTCATTACTATTGTGACAATTAAAAATTCTACAACATCTGATTGTACTTGAATATTTCCTTGGTCATCCTCTACTTCTTGTGTATGATCTAATATAGATAATTTATCTTGAAGGGTTAAAGTATTATCCCACCAATTTTTTAATTGTCCTGTGAATCCTGATACTAATAATGTTGCCACATTTCTTTCTTGAATATTTTTGAGCTTATAGGCTAATCTAGCCATTCCATTTCTTGTAGAGTATTTAATACTTCATATTCTGCTCTTCCATCTATATTCCATTCATAAATTCAATGTCCATCGTATTTAGTAGTATGAAATTTTGATCTTTCTTCATATTGAATATCTGGGAGACTAGGTCTTGGATAATAATTTCTAGTACTTACCATCTGCCAATCTTTTTTATTACTTCTAAGAGGTCTTCTTCTTCTTATTTTATTTACTTGATTATCTCCTTCCTCTTTAAATTGATCTTCAATAGGTGAAATTATATCTTCATCACTTTCTGAATAACTTGATTCTCCTGATGATATATCTTTATTTATTACATTATCTAATGTACTTATTCTAGAAGTTTGAGTTTGAGCTTCTGTTGTTAAACTTTGCAATGTCTGAGATATTCTATTCAATATATTATCTGTATTATTTATTCTTTGAGTATTAACACTTTGAATTAATTCTTGTTCTCTTTCTCTAGTTAAACTTCTAGGTTGAAAATGAGGTGCTGAAATATCATTAGGAAATTTTTTAACTGGTTTTTGAATACTATCTATCTTAGTACTTATTACTTCTATATGTTGTAATATAGTATGAAGAATTTGATTTGTGTAATTATTTTGCTGATACAAAAGGTATAAAACTTCACTTTTATCTATGATTCAAACAAATGTATGTAATGGACCAATTTATTTTAATTGTGCTCCAAATTTTTCTGTAGATTTAACAGATCCCCATGTTTTGAATTCAGTTATATTAGATATTCATTTACAAGGTGATAAATTTGAAAAACATACAAAGATTTTTGCTGTAATTTATAGAATGTATTACAGACCTTTGTCTTCACAATTAAATCCAAAATTTATTATGACTCCAACTTTAAAAGAGGAAACAACACTATTACAAGTTGATGCAGATAGACCTACTACTTATACTCCAAAAAGATTAAAATGGAACGAAATTACTATACCTAGTGAATTTATAATTCAAAATCCACAAGTACCAAGAAATATAGAACAAACAAATCCAGAAGATATTATAGAAGAACCTGATGGAAAAGTTTTACTAAGATTTTCTTCATTTAGAGAAAGACCCTCAACTTCAAGTCATTCATGGATACCAGCTAGGAGATCTAGTTATGAATCCATCGATACAAATTTTATTCCAGAAAGTTCTTCAACATTCAAGTTTAAAACTCCTGTCCCTGAAGTAGTTAATCAAAATCAATCAGAATATTCTCCAACACATTCTCAAATGAAAGGAGAAATAAATATAATAATTAAAGAATATAAAATAAATCATAAATAGTTACAAGAAGATTTTGATGATGAAGAAAATACAGAAAAAAGAATTTGGTTTTATCAATTATCTTCTGAATGTAAAGAAAAATTAATATTAGAATGGAAAAATGAACTAGAGATTAGGAGCATCTACTCTTAAATGGAATAATGGTTTTATGCAACTTGAATTAATCCTATATGAATATATCTATATCCTTTACTAAGATACTTTTGAATTATATTATGATTTATTAATGGAATGGTTTGATATTCTTCTTGAATAGAAATTGTCTCTTCATGAGTTTTAACTGATAAGGCTATTTTGGCATCAAGAAGCTTCCGCATATCAAAGATCACTCTAATCTTCTGTAAGTTTTATATGCTCATATTATATACCTGGGTTGGTTCTGGTATCAGAGCCTAACCATAGTTATTAATTGTTTCAAAATATATCCTATTTTAATTTATAATTCATGCATTTATGTTTAAATATCTCATTTAAGATTTTATATTAGCATTGGTAAGACTTTGAAGCTTTGTAAGACGGTTGGTAAGTCCGAGAAAGGATGTTCCACGTTTAGGCTCGGTTGTTCCTGATAAGATAAAAAATTAAATGGAGAAAAACTCGATTCATAACATTTCTAATGGAGAAATGGCAAGGTAATGCCATTTACAATTTTAGAGGAGTTTTTATTTATGCTGATATGCTTATCTTACTTAGTTGAACTATACTCCACTAGTTGTCATTGCTCAGTAACCAGAGGTCTTCACCTAAAAGTATCGACTTTTGCGTCAAAAAGTGGCGATAGTTATGAGTATGTGATTTTAGCAGTGAAAAACTTAGTAACCGGGCGCTTCATTAAAATATGTTAGAGTTCGTGTCAAAAGGTTTAAACGGCTAAGAATTAAGTGTATTACCCTAGTTAAAATGTGAAAAAATTTAAGTGTGGGGGGATTTGAAGAAAAATAAAGAGAAAAATATGAAAAAAAGAAACAAAATTATGTGGATATAATAATGGTCTATGGATCCATATAGTTATATGTTTGAGATTTTGTTTAATAGTTGGACCATTTGTAAGGAAATGCTTGTTAAATATTTTATATTCCTAATTTAGTTAACCAGAGTTGAAAGGGTCGATAGTGTTTAAAGCTAACCGAAGAACTATAACTTTGATTTTCACTATTAGCACTTGACACTTGTTTAGAATGGTTGATTTAATAATGATAGTCTTGAATATAGCCATTGTTTCGATTTAATAGATTTTGTTCTTGTACTTGAGGACAAGCATGGACTAAG